GCTCTGCTCTGCTCTGCTCTGCTCTGCTCTGCTCTGCTCTGCTCTGCTCTGCTCTGCTCTGCTCTGCTCTGCTCTGCTCTGCTCTGCTCTGCTCTGCTCTGCTCTGCTCTGCTCTGCTCTGCTCTGCTCTGCTCTGCTCTGCTCTGCTCTGCTCTGCTCTGCTCTGCTCTGCTCTGCTCTGCTCTGCTCTGCTCTGCTCTGCTCTGCTCTGCTCTGCTCTGCTCTGCTCTGCTCTGCTCTGCTCTGCTCTGCTCCGGAGGGTCGGTCACTTCTGGCAGTTCTAGTGTTCTGCAGGAAAAGTCACCCTTCAGCCAGCAGAACTCTTCTGGCTGGTGTGATTTGGTACCTGGTCAGGGGATTAGCCATTACGTTGGCATCCATCTTTAAGTTGCTTCAAAATAGATTTATTTGTATGATCAGAAAATGGTAAAAAAAGCCCTATTCCTTACCGCTTCACCCGAGATAACTTTATAATACATTTTTCCCCATTAAAATCAGTCTGCATTTGCCATCTTAAACAAACTGTCAGCAGTATAAATGATAATTTGCATGTATCAGCCAGCTAACCTGGCTTTATGTTTCCTTTGTGCTTCCTCTGCACTTTCCCAAGTCACTGTTGCAGTTCTTCCTGAACTATTCATTTTTCTCCTCACACTGTCAGTGATCTGGGTGTGCAGGTTAACAAGAAGCATTTAACAGCAGTAGTACCAGCCCCTGCTCCCACAGCAGATGTTCTGCATGGTCTGTTGAGGTGCTGAGCACAGGGGAGTCTTGAACCAATAAAATTAAAATGGGAAAGGAAAAAATGATGTGCATACTGAGTTTGTGAAAAGAAGGGGTAGATAGGTAGTTTGGCAGAAGCACAGCACTGAAAGTACTAATTTACAACATAATCTAACTGGTCTAACCTTTAGGTCTAGAGGCTCGTTTTAAGAACAAGTCGAGCTACATGAGGTACAGCTGTGAGAGCAGAATACGGAGCTACCTGAGAGAGGTAAAAGTGTCTTGTTGAAGTAACTTATTTTCAAGCTGCTAGTAAAAGTAACTATGTGACCACATCTACATAAAACCCTTTTATCGTGCAACACAGGGAGTCTCAAGCCCTACAGGCAGCAAGGAATGATGGTGGCTGTTCTCTTTCCCCCTTTAGGTTAATAGTTTTATTCCAAACGTTCATCCTACAGCAAGAGATGCCTATAAAGGGATAGTTGACCTGATGTCAGACAAACTGAAATCTGTGAAGTATAACGGGTGCTACTTTGACAGGAGGGAGGAGGAGGCAGACCGGCTGTGCACAGCAGAGGGGTGGTTCTCTTGCCAGGTGAGTGCAGCCCTCCCCAGAGCAGGGTCTGACTTACATCCACACTAGGGGAAGGCAGCAGTCACTGGGTGCTTGCAGGGTGCAGGTTTGTGGTGGTGATCTCTCTGGTGAGTGACAGCCAGGGGCAGGACTGGCATTGTCCCTGTCTTGTTTTGCAGGGACCTTTTGACAGAGACGACTGCCCATGTAAGCATTCCATCAACCCCTACAGTAACAGGGAGAGCAGAATCCTCTTCAGTACCTGGAATCTTGATCACATGTATGTATCAAGTATTAATCCAAACATCCTCATTTCATGCCCCTCACCTCAGGCAGGGAAGGTGTAGCCACTGAGTCTTTACCCTGTGCAGTCAGCTCTGCCATGAAGAGTGTGTTATGATAAAAGATGCTTGGATGCTGCAGGTGTTTGATAAAAGAAATACTGAGGGCAGGTTATAATGCCATCTCTCATTAGCTGCTTTGCTTCTGTTCAGAACTGCTTTGCATGGACTCATACTCCTCCTCCCCCCATTACCCTTTATGAAAACTCCTCCTCTCTGGCAAAAACCTTCAGACCCATTTTCAGGCATTACGGTCTTGTGTAGGAAACAGTTTTTGCTAAACTAATTTCTCCAGGAAACAACAAAACAACACCATAAAGCCAGTTACAGTGAATTCAAGTTCTGCCTTGCTCTAAAAGGAAGACAGAGACTTGACTATTATGAAAAAAAACCCACTACTGATGGCAATATTGTTTCCCTTTTGTGTACTGAAGAATAGAGAAGAAACGTGCTGTTGTCCCAGAACTGGCAGAAGCTGTCAAAACACGAGATGGAAGAGAAGTGAACTGGGAATACTTCTACCAGCTGCTGTTTACTGTGGATAATTTAAAACTTGTACATATTGCTTGCCATAAGAAAACCAATCATAATCTCAGCTGTGACAAAACTAAGATTTACAAAAAAAGGAAGCAAAACCACAAGATTTCCTAGTGCTATCTCTGGAAGTGACTTCTGCTGTTTTTAGCAGTGATCATGTCACGTGGCATAATTTTTAAATAGCTCTAGTTTCTTAAACAAAACCTTAGGAGTCCCTGGCAAAAGAGACTTGCTAAGTAATTCAGCTGCAATCTCACAACACACATTCATATCATGTCTCATTCTGCTCTCCTGCCTTCTCACTCACTTCAGCCTTCCTTTGATCACACTGGTAAATGCAATAAAATGCAGCTGAGAGTCAGCATAAAAATGAGGTCCAGAGGCTGACACGGGTTATGCCCTCTCATCTCCTCCTTGCTATGATAAATGTAGGGCTGAAACTCACACAGAATTTAAACTCGGACAAACATTTCTTAGAAACTGATCTGAGGGGACTCATAGATTCATATTAAGCCAAACAAGAATACTTGAAGATAATTATTTTGCTTGGTGCCTTTTCCAGGTAGACAACCACTGTGTTTCATGCAAGCCAAAATCACTCAGTGACAGAGGTGCTGGCTGTTCTGTAGCCAAATACCCACAGCAGGGGCATTTTCTGCTGCTTTAGATGTGCATCTTCTCAGGCCATGGTCTATCTTTGCTTTTACCTTTGCAGTCTTTCCCATCGATTTCCCTCCCCCTTTTAATCAGTTTCTGCCTCTTTAGCTGGAGTTGCCTTGGAGTAATAATAACAATGTAACTGTATGATCATGTTTACCTGCTGCTTTAGAGAATATTGCTTTTGTAAACCACATCCTACCTCAGGTAACAAAATACAAATAGATCAATTTTTACTGGATTTTTTTTTAAAGTATCAGCTTATAGCAACTGAACTTTTAGGGACTGCCAGTGTAAACGACATTAATCCTTTTTAAATAAAAAAATTGCCACCATCTTCCTCTGTGTGTGTGTGTGTGTGTGTGTAAGCAGAGGTATAAGAGTGGTTGATCAGGTGTAACATAGCATGGCCAATACAGACTAGTAACACTGAGTACAGGGAAACACATTTACAAATGGAGCACAGCTTACTTATTGCTATGTAAATAACATCACTGCTCCCCAGGGAAGAGCTCTGTTCCCCTTTCCTACACAGGCAAATCCAGCTTGTCCACACAGAACTGTATTAAAACAGTATTGCTATGTGAGCTGTAGCTAACTAGGTCTTGGAAACACAGGAGCTTTGCTAGACAGTTTAATTTCTTTAAACAACAAACTCAATTCCCCTCCCAAACATTTCAACATAAGAAGACAGGATTTTTAATACTAGTGCACTGAATCCATCCTTCCAGGTGGCCTCACTGAGTATCTTGTTGCTGGTAACGAGATGGGGGTGCACACTGTGCTGTTCTGACCATGGGGGAGGCATCACAGCTGAGATTCTGATGACAACCACCATGCCATCTGTGTGGCATGCTTCCTGCAGGCTGAGAAGTCACCATTTTGCACAGTGCTAGAACTAAAATGAGTGTCTGTGTGTGTGGAGATGTGTTTTCTAGAAAGACGCAGTAGCAAACACGGATTTAGGGAGAGCTGCTTCAAGATGGAGTTGTGCTGAGAGCCATGAATGTGCTGTTCAAAAAATAGATTTTTATGTATTACAGAATTAGAGTGAAAAGGAGCCAAGAAATAATCGTTGACAGAAACAATGCATCAGTTGGAGTGGAAATGTGAATAAATTAACATGTCATGCATAGACAATTTGTTTGCCTTACAACTTTTGAATGTTTTAACAAGCTATAGCTGTAGAAATTAATATGTATTTAAACCATCTGCTAATAACATTTTCTCTATATTTTTAGAAATGTGGAAGAAAATATTTGTAACAATAAAGATCTGGAAGCTTATTGCATAATCACACTTTCAAAGAAGTAGTATCATAAACACTGGGTGAGTCAGCAGCTCCTGATTTCACCTGAGGTTGCTCATTGCTTTCTAAAAAAGGCCAAAATAATACCTTTGGTGGACTGACCCCGATCCTTAGCAGTCAATGCTTGTTCATCCACTGATCAAATTCAACACTGGGAGCGCCTCTATCACCACCAATGCATTTGTTTACAAAATTCCTGTTCATAACCCATGGAAGCCAACTGAAAACCCTGCACAAGCTGCATTACAGAAGGGTTAGGGCTGGCCTGATAGAGGAGCTTCATGTGGTGGTTGTTCAGAGCACTGACAACCAGTAAAACTACTGTTCTACCATGTTCGGCTGCTTTTAATAAGGGAGTGAGACCAAATGTTCAGTCTAAATAAGGGCTTAAATTATAGAAAAGGAGTAAGAAATTCTATTTTCCTTTTTTTTTTTCTCCTAAATATTAGTGGTAAATGATATATTAGAGTTTGTTTCCAAATCACTGTAAATTCAGTCAATCTTTGCCTCAGATAACCATGGGAGAACACGGTGTCTGCCAGTTCCAGAAAAACAAACTCCCAGTTCCTCTCTCCCTGAGAAAAGGCAGACACAGACACCTTATGTTAGGGACACAGCCAACCATCATTACACTACTGCAAAGCAAAATAAAAAAGGTTTCATTTATTTACAGTTTGTTGTTAGGCAACATCCTCTTCATCCTCCTCCTCTTCATCTTCCTTTGCAATGAAATGTAGCTTCCTGAACTCTCTCCTGCTCGTGGCTGTGCTTGGGAGAGCAACTGCTGGAAGATCCTTTAGGAAACACAAAAACATTAGGGAAACATTAAGGAAAGTCTGTTGTGGCAGACCTGCCTCTCCAACAGTTCACATGCTTCCAGACCTGGTGTGAGGCACCGACACACACCTCTTCACCTGGAAGCAGTGCCAGAAACCCACAGCTAAAGCTGAAGAGCTTTGCAGGGGGCTTGCCTGAGCTAGTCATGGCCAATGGTCTGAAGGAGGGCTGGCTTTCTTTCTGTAGGCTGGAGAAGGGATCAGGGAGGGTGAAATGCTCCACAGACAAATCCTCACTGCTCCCACCAGCTGTGACCCCTAAGTACTAATCCCCATGAAACACCTGAAAGAAGGTGGCATTACTTGCCCCAAGTTACACAACATGAAAGGCAGACATAGGATTTGAATTTAAAGTTCTGGCCCTTGATCAGTCCAAAAGCAGAGGTGGCCAGAAACCAGTTTCCATTCCAAACAATTACAATAACTGCAATCACCACAATAAAGAACTAATTACCGGGGATTCTCTCAACTGTTTTGAGTGAATAATGCTGTTGACTCCATAGTTCAGCTATCTATGTTTTTATGAGTAAAAATACCCAATTAAGACAAGTCTGCTGATACGGCCTGATCCTGTGTGAAGGTGCAAGGCTGCAGCAGAACAGCTGAGCCTGTGAGGTGTGAACAGACCCTCATCATCTTACCCTGAGCAGCTCGACATCCCCGAAGAACCGGGCCACTGGCATGGGCTGGTTGCTGTCCTCATCCAAGAAAGCACTGCTGTCCAGCTGGGTGGGCTTCTTCAGATCCGTGTCCTCCAAGCTAGACCCATCTGAAAGCAGACTCTCACAGCTGCTCTCCTCTTTACTGTCCATTACTGAAGGAGCACTGCTTGACTTCAGTGCACGTGGCTCCAGAGGAGCACTGTGCTCCTCCTGTTTGTCTTCCTTAGACTCTGGAATGCTTTCACCTTTCTTCTCTGGAATTCTATTGCAGTCTCCTGGATCTTCTGAACATCCATCCCCATCAGACGTTTTAGGTGTTTCCCCCAATGCAGCGAGGTTTCCACTTCCACATTTAACTCCTTTTGGTTCTGATTTTACTAGACTATCTTTTTCACATTTCAGCCTCTTTGTGGGTCTGTCAGCCACCCTGTGTGAGGAGCCCTGCTAGAAGAAAATACAAGACCCTAAAGCTTACTTGAATAAAACCACCAGATAGTTCACACTAAACCAGAGTGCAGTCCCTCACCAGTGGAAACCTACTTCTCAAAGGATAAACTAGCACCACGCGTGGCTAATCACCTCTTTTCTCAGGGCTGCTGGTAATTAATGCAGCAGAATGATGTGAGCCCGGGCCTGCAGGGCCGGGCAGCTCCACAGCCTGACCCCGCCGCACACAAACGTGCCCCGCGCTTCACCTTCCCGCGCCGTTGTCTAACAAAACGGCAGGAAGGTGGGAAAAGCGAAGAATTTACTTCGTTTTCCAAGGCATTTCCTTCAGGGAGACGCTGTTTGCAGCCTCAATCACTCCCTGCCCCCCCC